ACTCTCGGTTCTTGGGGGAGTCCATTAAATCTAATGTACTCTCTGATTGAAAAATACATTTTATTTTGGAATCAAAAACTCCAGTCTTACACTTTAACGTATTGTTTATTTTTAGTAATAAAATACTTAAGCAATATTAAAATGTTTGTGTATTAGTTTGTTTGTGCTACCTTTATAAAATTATTAAAATATGTTTAGGTTTTACGTTGTATTTTAATAGTAAATATTTACATTATTAATATTGTTCAAAAATATGGTTTATACATATTCATAAATATTTTATTTTAATGTGAAAAATTCAATTTTAATAAACTAAAGATTTTATATTTTGTTATAATATGTATTACTTTGTCATTTTGCAGATACTTAACTTAAATGTTATTTAATACCCCATTTAGGTAATTTTATTGGTCTATTGTATTATATTGAAAATTACTCTATAATATAGGTAATACAAATATAATATAATTTAATAAGATATACAAAACAATAATTTATTTAAAAAGAAAATGAGATTTGCCTGAACATGATTAGATTCCCATTTTGCACTTCGAAAATAAGTGCACTATCTTCACTTTAGTAGGGTATTCGAATACCATTGTGCCCGTTTCCAACTCGATTTTGTTTTTGAAGTTGTGCTCTTTGTTTTATGGGATGGACCTGGTCCTAAGAGGGGAATCCCTAAAGGGATTGGAGCCAGCGACACTGCCTAATTGCTTTGCTGCCGGGCGGGCGATGGGGTTTGCCACTGGGAAGGGCGGGGATAGGGATCCTCCCTTCGGTTGGCTAGGTAAATGAATGAATGAAGCTCCCGAACGATTAACCCACTCACACCCACGGAAACCCGATTGCTCTGTAAACAAAACACGGAAAGCAAAGTACAAATGATGCCCCGGCCCATTTATGTTTATTTTGTTTTGAAAATTGTGCGTTTAATTTATAGTTAATTGTTTTCCAGCTTTTCATTAGCCAACCAAACCGAGCGGTGACTGTGTGCGGTCCCCGAGAATTCCTGGGAATCCAGCCCACAGACCCGAGCGGGCGGATGATATTATACTCGTACCAATTGTTGATGATGGTGCTATTTGCGCAAGTTGTTCGGCGCGTCCGCCCGTCCCACAAAATGGCCACCCACCTCAATTTCAATTTGAAATTCAATTTCCAACTCAATCTCCCGTCCGGCAGCTGTTGAAAAATCTTTGCGCAACGCCAATTCCAAATCCAAATCAGATCCAGCGAACCGTGGCCACTCCTCTGCTTATTTGGCTTCAAATAAAAAATCATTTAAATGATTTCGAGAACGGCCGCCATAGCCGGCCATAGCGGCATCAAATTGAATGATAAATGTTTTGGCTTTTGTGATTTTGTTTATTGTTCAAATTTCGGGTAAAAAATTTCAAATTTTCACCGCATGCATAAAACGGTTTTGGTGTTCTTCATTTTTTGTTGTCTTCCTTTTACTTTATCGCGTTTTATGGACAGCCATTCAAATCGGCAAATGCTGAGATGATTCCAACTAGCACTAGATGGATGGTTTGTTTTTTCGCGAGCTGTTTAGATGAAAACGTTGTGGTGTGGCGGAATGAGAGAGAGATTCGGGATACGCACATGTGTCCAAGTTCCATTGGGGCAACTTAATTAACGTTTTAATGGACCTGCCGACTCGTAATGCCCGACAATTAAAGTCGCAATAGACATTTGGTGGCCCCGCCAGTCGATTCGGGCGTTAGATTGGCCCCGGGGCCAAGAACTGAGTGGGTGAGATGTGATGCTCGAGGCTCCCTCTATGCAGCATTGCCCAATGGACCGGGCGCCTTATCAGCTGCCTGAGCGCTACTAATAGAGCGCTACCAGGCGGAACACACTTGAAGATCCATTGATAAACAGTCACTTGGTATGTGAACGGGCGGGATCTGTTTTTCTCCCTGCAGCATTTGGCACCGAAAAGTGTTTGGATGGTTCGAGATGGGAAAACAAACGGAATGGTGTCGTATATGGGTAAACACTTCAATGAATCAGTTTCCTGGGTGGAAAACTTTTGTCGGATCGGAATATTTCGGCTGAGCACCTGCAACTTACTGGGTCGTTAATCTTTTGTTTTCCTTCATTTATTTGGAACAACATAAAAGCGCTTAAAGCCTGTTTAAGTGCCCATTGCTTTGTGTAAACAGTCTTCCTATCGAATGCTCAGGAATGATTCACAAGAAGGTGTAGGTGCTTTAGGATTTCACAGTTGACTAGGTGCTCTTTGGGATAAATAAATCAAATCGTGTACCTTATAAACATACCAGGTCTGGGACATAAACTAAGAAAGCCCTGTGAAAATGGCTAAATTAAATAAGATTATTTCATTTGCATTTTTATTGTATGAATCTAAAGTCTATTAATATCCAGAATGTTATCACTAAACTATTAAAAAATGGTTTCAAATATTTTATATACCAGTAAATAGCACCTATATATCATAGTTAAATGATAACAATTCCTTGTAGGATTAAAGAATAATAAATATACCATTTCGAAAATAAGGTATATGACTTAATCCCAAGTCTTGGGCTTCTACTAATTGGCTTTTAGGCCCTGAAATTACCGAGAATTTTCTGCAATGCATAAATCAACATCAAATTGCCGAAGAAGAGCAGTTTAACGCCTCGTTAGCTTTCGTCACTAAGCTGAGCAATTTCAAATGAATTCCACCTACTTTTTCTTAGTGGCATCCTTTATCTCTCCTCGTTTTTTCTCTTTTATTTTTTCATAATCATTATACGGAGAATTTTCTTCGTCCTGCCACCCAAACGCCTATCGGCCACACCCACTCCAATGTCGGCAGCTATTAGCAGCAATTTTCAATTTCCTTTCTGATGAAGCACATGGCAAGAGAGCAAATTACATGGCGCACAAGATGAGACATTCACTTTTCCTTGGCTTTTCTTTTCTTTTTCCATTTTCTTATTTTTGTTGGATTTCCCCCCTTTTTGAGCTCGGTCCTGGCGCACACGTACGCAATTGTCCTGAGCGCTCGTCTTCGATTCGAAAAGAACATTTTCTTGCAATTTCTGCTGGGTGGCTGATGGCTGAGTGGGTCGAGAATAGAGCCCAGACGGGCGCAAATGAACGGCCATTATGTTTATCCGAAGTGAAAGCGAGGGCTGAAGTGAATTTTTAACGAGCCGGGGAGCTGGGGACTTGCTCAGTGCGTTGCAGTGAGTTGGAGAGTTATCCTGCCGGCAAAGGACATGCTTCAATTGAATAAGAAGAAAATTACACTTAAACGCTGCGGCGTGTCGACAGCTTTAGCTTCCCTGGGTGGTCAGCCTTTTGTGACCTTCTAGAGGGTATTATAAAATTGATCTGATCTTGGTACAAGTAGAAAATATGGAAGATACAATATGCGTACTCAAGTAATTTTGAAATAAATAATAAATATATAAATAATAAATAAATAAATAAAAAAAGGGTATTTAAACCATCAGAACACCTTTTGAAAGTTCCAATATTTATGGTATTTTCGTTTTTCTAAAAAAAAAGTTCAAGCTATATACATATTTAAGCACATAAATTAACTTTAGAAGATCATATTTTTTTATTTATTTATTTTGTCTTTACAAATTAAGGTAACGGGCACTATAAATTAGAGACCTTTGGCCTATATCTATTCTTTTTCATAGGTTTTCCTTCCTATATCCCTTACTATTGAGAGATAAGAGTATCAAAACTTCAGCTTACACAAACACTTCTTTCCTATCCCGTTTTTGGTTAGCCACCTTTGATTGGGCTGCATTCAAAGGTGCCCATCTAAATTGGCGGTCAATTAGCGACTCCTTCTAGAGACCCTCTCTTTAATCTATCTTCATCATTTGCGCAGCCATCGCATAAGCACATTCCACCGCCCGAGGATGATTTTAAGTTTATTTGCCTAAGCCGTTGACAGACAAACAGCTTGGGGTTCACCCCTTTCCGCTCCCCACACTCAAAAACAGCACTCATACGCCCTGTGCGCCATCTGCATTAACATATCATTAGTGCGTGCGTGTGTTTGCCTGTTTATCGGCGCTTTTGTTTACAATAAAGCGTAATCATGTGTTACAAATACCAATAATAAAGCCGATGGGCCATGCATGTAACCCTATAGCCCAGGAAGCATCCAGCATGGGGCGTCGCACCCACTTCAATGTCAGTTCGTGAATGCATAATGAGCCCTGGAGCTCCGCGGATCGTGTCTCCGCACTCCGGCCTCAAGTGCACTTGCCGGAGACCCGGTCTTCCAGCCTCCCAGTCTCCCAGTCTCCGGAGTCATGTAAACATCCCATTTCTGGGTCCAAATGGCGCTCGAAATGGCGCTGCCATTGCAGGAAGCAACTGTCTTTGGGGTCATTTTGTTTATGCGATTTTCGAAATTGGACATGTATTTATATTGCATATATCTGGGATAATCGTGTGCGTACTTAGGTGTTCCAAGTATAAACACGGGATCTAAAGTTCTTTAAACACAAAAAACCAAGTCTTTAAGATTCCTTCATTTAACAGGTAAATCTTGTGAATTTCTTATGCTTCAAGTTGAAAATTCCCATGCGCATTTCAGGGAAAATGTATAATTTTATGATTTTTCCCGGAGTGGTTTTATTGGTTCTCGATGATTTGGTAAGCGCATACTTTAGCAGTCTTAGAGGTCATATCATCAATTGGGCAATCCAAGCCCCTGGCAACATGATGATGATGGTGAAATCCCATTAATCTATGATGAGTGTGCTTTTTGGGGAAGGGGTTTCTTCTCTACTCAAGACTTTTGCAATTTTGCTTAATTCGAAAAGAACACTTGGCCCAGCACTCAGGCGCCTTAAGTACAATATTGTAGGACCATACCAATTTGGATTCATTAAATACTTAAGTAGAAGCTCAAGTGCCAAAGCTTAAGTGTTCGGGCTATTATTGCAAAAATATGTATAGGAGGCAACAAAGTGCAGATCAAGTATTTATAAAACATTTTATGGAAATGACCATGTGGGGACTGTCTTAATTTGTTATTAAAATGGCTCAAAAACTCACTTTCTTATTTTTATTGTTTTGACCTGTTGCATTATAATTACAATTACATTATAATAATACAAATTAGGCTTTCGAATTTTCTTTCAAGAGCTGCGTAAAAGTAATTCAATTATTTTTAGTGAAACAATAAACGTTACTTTATATTTATTCCGATTTTGTCTTTTTATCAAAGGATTCTTTACCACGCAACGATTTCAGCCTTTTATAAATGGCATACAAAGTCAAAAGAGACAATACAGTAATTATCAGTATAATCAAGGAGACATCCAGCAAATAAAACTGGTACCAGCGAAGATGAACTCCTGCTGCCACCATATGCGGTGCTCCCCGGTGTTCTATTACATAATTTATCCAGTAAATGGCCGTGTCCATAGCGCCAAGTGGACGATCGCGAAAAATCCGGGATGCTTTATCCATATTGGTTTTAAACTTGCGATTTGTCAGCAGTTCATTGAGTGCAGATTTCAGCAGATCTTCCGAAATTGTCCGATAGTCCAAGCCAATGGCAAATCCAGCAGCCTGGCCCGCTTTTATGTTCAGAGCCTGATCAAAAAAGAAGGGCATTCCGATCACCGGAACCGCGTGATAAACTGCCTCTTGCAATCCGAAGAGTCCGCCATGTGCAATGAAAACTCTAACATTCGGATGGGCCAATATATCGGACTGGGGTAACCACTTTTCAATCCTGACATTGTCGGGAATATTCGACAACTGGTCGCTTTCGAATTTCCAAAGGACACGTTGTTTTAAGCTGCCAAAGACTCCTAGGAACATCTTTATTTTTTCGGGTAACATGTCAGCACTGCGCAATTGAGATCCTATAAATGCCAAAGATTTATAAATGTAAGTAGGTTCAGTGAAAATTTAAATTTGAAATATATCTTTTAAGATGTGGTTATCTTAAGGCCTACAATATTTTGATTCAAACTCACCCAAACTAAAGTAGATAGCACCGAACTCTGCATCATCAAGGAACTTTTTTATGTTTGCTGGCAGATCTCTAGGTGGCTGGATATGCAGTCCTCCCACCGAAATCATGCTCAAGGCCATTGGTCTCGGATATGTCAGCGGCATATAGCTGTTTATTAGTAAGACCGAGATGTTTCGTTCCAATTGCTTAACCGTCGGCACTTCTGGTAATAACTTGCCAAAATACTTCTCGATAATGGCATCCTGGGCCGGGTAGTAGGAGACTTCCCGAAGCACATCCTCAGCAGTGCTAAATACTACATTTTCCAATCGCTCCCACAATGTCATTCTATCGGTGCGTCCCGTTACAGTATTCGGGACGTATGATAAGGGATTTATAGAGCCAAAGATTTTGCTAAAGTAGTTGGCATAGGCAAAGGCTGCTACGGTAATGACGGGTACTTGGTAGAGATGGCCGAGCATAAGAGCACCCTCATTGTAGAACTGTGCCGCAAGGAGAAGATCGAATTTACCGATCTTATCTTTGGCGTAAATTAGATCCTGAACTTCCGGATGGGCCAGTGCAAAATCCGTTGATTGGATACCAATGTGTTGGGCCAGACGCATGTGTGTCATCCCTGACAAGTCAATCATATCCAGCGCCGATTTTGTATTCATCTTTGCAGAAACTGTGGAAAAATATGTTAGAATTTATGTTTTTTAAGTACTGAACTGACTTACCATCTTCCCATGAGTCATAATGGTGCAAAAGAATTTCCCTGTAGTTTGGCCCCAAGTTTTCCTTGGCCAACGAAAACGGAGTTATGAATGTGACCTCATGTCCACGTTTTACCAGTTCTCTTATAATCGCATTTGTCATCATATAATGGCTTGGTGTAGGTGAGAAAAATGGTGCCAGAATGCGGGCTCCATCTCCAATTCCCAAAAAGCTCAAGAGAAGCAACTTTATAATTAGTATCTGCGGTTTAAAAATATACGAAAACGGTCTAATAATACATTCTGGGCTAAAATTATTATAACAAACCATTTTTTTTTATATTTTAAGCACTCGCGAGACACAGGTACACTGCACTGGGAACAATCTTGGCAGAAGTTTTTATATACCACACCATTTTTCTGCGGGGTTATTCACTTTTATTTTGTCAAAAGTCGGATAGATAAGTCTGTAGATTGTTTCAGTTCAACGGCACTGCATGATACCGATAAAACACCTTATTAAATTCCCCATCTTCTAGTCATGTAAGTAATCTTCAATGATAAGAGTTCAGTAAACACATTTTATCTATGAGTGCAAAAAATCTATATAGACACCCGGCAGTAGTATGAACTTGATAAAATATAAAGGTGTTAACATTTTTAAGTGTTTATCAGCTAATCTTTTTGGGTACTTAAACTTCTTGAGGTATTTGGTAATAAAGTTGTTAAAGAAATTATAAAATGTACTTCCTGTGTATGTTTCTTTGTTGTATTTAAAAAAAAAGTCCGGCTATATATACAGACATGACCTAAGTGATCTTTAAAAAAATATTCTCCTCAGTTCAAAACTTTCCCCTACAAGTTTATGTAGTACTTCCCAAACGATAGGAAGTAGTAAATAGATCACAGAAAAATTAAATATTTGCTTCCCGGTTGCCACCCAGAATTATTGTTGAACGCGGGGCCCATATATCATTTCGGGCGGAAATACGGTTTGCGAGCAAGGTACATGGAACAAATAGAGATGGAGCACAACAAAGATAAAAACAGTAGAAACTGTGGAAAATTAATATGATAATAATTGCGCGTTAGTCTAATATCTATATCAGATTCAATATCACCTTTAATAAGATTATGCATACAAATAATACCAAGCATTTTTCTACGATTTACTAGAGTAGGCAAATTAAGCAATGGCAAACTACTCGGATAAGAAGGTAACCCTACGTTTTGATCCAAGTTGAAACCACGTAGGGCAAAGAGAAAATATGTTTTTGTACCGACTCAATACGGTCAATGTGCACTTGATGTTGTGGACTGCAAACCGAAGAACAATTAGGGAGGACAAGGGAGGTAAAAAGTAATTTGGTTGTAAATGTATCTATAAAATAAGTTTAAGACGCTATAAAAGAGTTCTTTCAATATCTTTGTAATTGTTCAAAATTGTCCAATTATATCGAGAAATCATCTAGCTTATAAGCTGTACTTTATTATTATCACATTTACGAAAGCATCTAATTAATGTTGGATAAGTAAAGGAGAGAGGGTATCAACGCGGGGGAAGCAAATTGTTAATTTCAATTTGGAATGATATCGGTCTTCTAAGACAACAAGTGCGTCAATTCTAGATACCGTGACTTCAGACGAGTCTAAAACAAATACAAGACCTAGTTGTCTGTTTAGTGAATTACATATAAAGCTTACTTGCTGTAATGATAATTCTAACAGACCATCAATAAAGTTATGGACAGATAAAGGAATAGGAGGGAGATTAAAATCCCACCGGAACAATAAAGATATCCCTGTTGGAAAGATGAGATAGGGCAGATTTTGTTCCAGACAAAATTGACTCATAAGTTATTAAGACAGATCCAGGTCAAATATAAGAACAAGTTACAAAAATAGATAAAGATCGCAAAGAAACTTTTACACTAACAAATTCTATGTCGTTAGGGCTATGAGAGTATATTCTCTCCGATGTTAGACAAGAGGTAACGGCAATCAGCACAAATTGGCATTTTTTTACTACCAAGGATGACCTTGATCTCTTTGAATTATCAACAGTTAACAAAAAAGTTTCGTAAAGCTATCATTGGTCAGGGCCATGTAGCCATCCAAAAAAACTAAATTTAGTTTATGTTAAATTGTCAATGTTAAAACAATTAACACCAAAATACTGATTTAAAGCACCAACACGGTGGTAAGGCTAGGCTTGGTTAAAAAACAAGACACTAGTACCACAGATATTAATAAAATAACTAATTTTACAAAATCACAAAGCACGAGATAATCGAAAAAAATATAGTGAATAGTGTGCTAAATTATGACCCTAAACAATAAGCCCCAATGCTGCTGTTTTGCTTCCCTTGTAAACTTTCCGATTAATCAGTCTTCCAGATATATGTATTCACCCATTTAACCATATGAATGGTTAAATTGCCATTAAACTCAACGCGCCAATTTGTAGGCAATTAAATTTTATGTTTGAACTGGAATTTGGGGAGATTCTGTGACGTCCGGACTGGACTTCTGTGGGGATTGGGATTGTGAATTCTGATCAGTACCGCATCCGCATCGATCATTCAATTTGGCAGCCATTCGAGGCGGACTTATTATTATTGTTTACTTTGTCATATTTTGCCAATGTGTTTTTATTGTTCTGCGGGCCGCATTCGTACTCGTATTTAGATTGCCTCTATTTGTTGCTGCATGCCAGCAGTGATACTTTGTTTATTGTCTCGGCCAGGCCAAATAAATGCAACGACTTTCTGCGGTAAATTTGGCATTTGCCGATTGGCATTTGGCGGGTGCTTGCTGCGATTTGACCATAAACCTTGATCGGTCATGTGTTTCCCTCGGAGGAGGGGCTCAAGTGGATGAAGTTATTGCAAATTCTCTAATCTTGGGATAATGCCCATTCTTGGCAATCACTGCAATGATCTCAACGGCCAAATGCGGCCATAAATTCCGCGTCGGATGGCCAAGTGTTCCATCAAAATCAAAGCTTTTAAGCCGCTGCCTGAAGTGTTTCGCTTGCGTTCTAATTTGCCTTTGCAGCGAATGCGCAATTAGCCGCTATTACATTAATAATACGCGTACTTGTCTTCGGCCGACCCAATGGTAATTGAAAAATCGGCTATTTCCAATGTGGAAATCGAAACAGAAATGGAATTGAAAAGCGCACATTTGGCCAAAGTGAATCGTCCGTACTTAAGAGCTTAAAAGTGCGCATCTTGCCTCACTGCAGCTGTATCTGAATGGGAATCTCTGTGCGATTTTGATTCTATCTTTATTCTATTCTAAAAGTTCGTCATTGACACTGCCGATTTTTTGTAAATTTTAGAACACAGTTTCTTAGGTTTTCTTAAAAAACATTCTTCAAGAGTGGAAAGTGTTTCTAATTTTTAGTTTAAGTTAAAAAAACAAAAATTAATGGCAAATTTCTAAAAATCTGTAATTTTTTTTCTTGCTTTTCGAAAATCTAGTTCCTAATTTTTCTTCTTAAAATTTGTAAGTTCCTTTACAACCCATGCATACACATTAAATTGCAAAATCAATATTTTTGAACAATGCACTCAAGTAATAAATATTTAGTTGGCTTAAACTTACAAAATTGTTAGGGTATTAGATATTTGATTTTCTTATGCTAAACACAAAACGAAACGTTGATATCGAAGGTTATGCTGTAGTATTCTGATTATATAAGGTAATTAATATTCTTTTTGATTTAAGATGCTAGTTATCATATAAACATTCTTAACTTACGAATGTACTTGTTTTTAAAAGTTGTAAAAAAAATAACCCATATAAATTCTTATAGCACATATTTCAAGTTCTTATTGTTCAGTGAGGAGCCGTCCTTCTGTTTTGCGGCGACGCTAATATGCAATTGGAAACCGTCGGGGCCGCCAGTCAGTTTTCCCCGCACTCGTGGCGATGGCGATGCACCGGCTCCATGATCATGTAATCATGCGTGTGGCATTGTTTACAAATCACGCCTTGTCGCCGCTCCCGACCAGACAGGACACACTCGAGGATGTCGGCAGGACGGTGAAATATGTGTGAACGTGGTTCCATCGGGATCCGGATTCCCGGCTACTCAAGTGGCCAGTGTTTGGGAGTCTCGGTCAAGGTGGCTAATTGGGACCTCCACTCGAAATCCGTCTAGACAGCTGTTCTGCGGTGGTCCTGGGCCAAGTGGCTTGTTGTGATTGTCGCCCTGGGACATTTGGGACACATTAGTTGACCACTGTTTGGAAACAAATGTCGAAAAGGCAGCGCCAAGGCGGAAAAACTGAAGGGAACGGACCACACAACAGACGCAAATAACCCAAAACCGTACTCCAAATAAGCAAAGCGCGATGCAACAACAAACAATGATACACCGAAAGAACTTGATCAAATCTACTGAATATAACTCTCTATGAAAAATTTATGTAAATTTTTATTTTGAAGCAAATCTCTTGGGAACTGCAATTTATAGAAATGATTTAAATCTATAAATTTATTTGATGATACTAATAATGATAATAATAAGTATTAATGCCTTAAGCCTTGCTTTGTATCATTTTTCTCAAATATTCCAACATATTATTTACATCCCTTACTTACAGAATAAGATAATGCAATTGATTTTGTTAGCATGCTTTTATGGTATAGAAGAATACACATGTTTTTAATAAAACAAATCAACGTTATAACAGAACTCCTGGAATACATTTACTACCTATGAATGACTATTTCTAAAATTTCATCAAATACTTTCTTAAAATATATTTTTATAAGCCCGTTTGAAAAAGTATAGCTGTCTTACTCTCTACTTTCTTATTACTTTTTTTCCCTGTGCATGCCACTATTCCACTAGTACATTAAATGAACTTCCCCCAGCATTTAATGTACTAGTGGAACTCCTCAACTCGGCTTGGCTCGGCTCCATTCATTCATGCTCATCCCTACCCATCCATATGCTCCATCCATATCCATCCATCCAAATCCATCCATCAGGCCATCAGGTGTGTGGTGGCGTTGGCTTTCTGGATGTGGATATTCCAATGCCGCCGCCGTTAGAAGCGCAATTTGTTTATGCTACTTTGTGAGCAATAAAAGCACAGACGGCCATGTGGGTGGTCCCACCTTGGGTCTTCGGGCCTTTCGATTTATGCATTCGCTGGATATGATGTATAGTACTGGTACTGGGTGGATGTGGGGATAGAGATCCCCCTCCCGTGTGCTAATCATCAGCCGCTCTTCGGAGCTGTTCGTGTGGAATTAATCAAAGCATTGTGTGCGGATGCAGTAGGATGTGGTGGGTGACTGTAATCCCTGTGAGAATAAAATTGAGCCATAATTGAATTGATTTCCAGCGAAAGCGGCCACTTGCAAGTGTCGGAATCGAGGGCCCTGGGACAGATATGGCTGTGCAACTGAA